ACTGTCTATACCAAATCCTGTAGCTGGTAAAGAAGGCCTCTCTCAATGGAGGCCCTGTGTTTCAAAGACAGCCAAGGACCAGAAGTGAGAAAAATAGTGACTGCAATTGAGGCAGAAGTGGTCTCCTCACTCTTTTTGATATGCCACATAAACCTCACAGGACCTTTCATGACCTCACAGGAGAGGCTGCTCTGCCCAAAGTATAAGTTTGATAAAATTTTTCAGTTGTTGAATACAAACGTTCAAATCAATAGTTTATTTGATGTGACATTTTTAACCCTATGGCTGGGGGGTGGTAAATCCAAACCTATTTAAAAATGAAGAAAATCAAAATTCCCTATAATCCCATCATTCTATACCCTTCCAGTTATTCTGTTATCTCTAAGATCAGAGAGGTTCTTGCAGATAATTTTACAGTGGGAAAAATGCTGGCAGTATTTTATGTGCTGTGGCATGCTTTCTCTAGGTTCCTTGTGCCAGGCACATTCACAGAGAGTCCAAAACTAAGACCAGGAGCAGGGGCTGTTGTTTGAGGAGTAGGTCCCACCAGCCAGAATATGAGTCATTTCTGAGACCTTCTCGTTAATCTGTGCCAGAATTCAACATCCACTCTTGCAGGGAAAAAGGAGAGAATCCATCAGGAGCACTGGATACTTCATGAGGGTCTAAAGTGTGACCCCCATCTGACGTCTCCTGAGCCTATCCCTCAAGACCACTGAATCGTCATTGATTCCAGATTCTCCTTATCCCAGCCTCTGACCCCAGCAATGTCCTACATCTGCTAAAAGTAAAGGTGCAGGACAAGGTGAAAATGCCTTGTCATTTTTCCTGTATCAGCACATCCTTGTTGCCACCCCTGGGAGTCAAAGCTGAAGATCTGATTTGGTTACACCTGACTTACTGGCGCTACTTACTGGTATACACAGCAGATTCGGTCTGTGATAAGTATGTCAAAAATGCCACTTTGGGACTTGGAGGAGGGGGTGGCTTCTGCCTTCAGTTTTGGAGAAGAGGGTAAACTGTCCATGTTTTTCATGTGAAGAATAATCATGTTCACAGTTTGATTCCAAAGGAGCTGCAAAATGAAACCAGACAAAAATCCCAGAAACAGGCATTTGAAAGAGATTTTCTGTTTCCAGAACTTCAAGTTTGAGCTTTGAAAAGAAGCAAACTATCTCCAAGGAAGTAAAAGCAAGCCTGCCTTGTTGGCTGCCCCTCTTTATTCACCCCCTTTTCCTCTTTTTTCCTCTCTTCCTCTTTTCTTTTTTCATCTTTGGTCCCCGTCTGCACTTATGTGAAAAGGAAGGAAGACCTCAGTCAGTGCCCTACCTTACCCCCATAGGAAAAATCCTTTTTAACAGGGCTCAGGTTCATGGATACCTATCCAGACCTCTATTCCAACAAAGGCCCCCAGGGCTGGCACAGGTCCGTTTTGCAGAGATGGCAGTGAGCCCAGGCGAGGACATCGTAAGCCCTGAGAGCCGCCAGGCTAGCTTTGGGTCACGAGTGCACCCCTGGTTACCCGATGTTGAGTCAGCGATCTTCAGACCACAGAAAGGTCAGGCCCATCTTCACAAAGTGAAAGTGCTGAATTATACTGAAACTGCAGAAAAAAAGTAAACCAACCCTGCCTCAGGGCCCTAAGTATCAGCTCTGAAAGTCTTGTTTTTAATCTGGAATTACAGTAAAATCATTTCAGAGTGGTTGGGCATGTGGTATTCTGAGTAATTTACTCTTCTACTAAATTGCAAGTTACCACACTTCCTACCAGGCCTTCCTCATTTCCCTGACCCGGCCCACCATGGCTGTCTCTTTGGACTCCACCCACTTACAGTCCCAGACAGGCCTGCTTGTGCAAGGGCACAAGGTCAGCGGCCTGGGATATACCAGGATGGGTGGGACTTCATACTGCTCTCCTAAAGTCTACAGAGCTGGATAGTGTGTCCCCTAGGTGTCCTAAGGCCCTTGAAGAGCTCCTGCCCACTCTGTGTAGAGGGGAGAACAATCAGGCGAGTCTGTGCTCCAATTCAGCCTGGACCACAGCTTCTCATTAGCTCTGGATCTCTGGCAAATTGTGATCTCTATAAGCTGCAGGTACTAATTCTTCCTCCAGGACTGTTGGGAAGGTTGGAGCTCACACATGTAAAACCGTATGGCACAGCATGGGGACACAGCAGATGCGCATGCTCTTCTCATGCATCACAGCCTGCCAGGGGCATAATCTGGAACCGTGTCCAGTCTCTGTCCTCCTAGGATGGGGTCTTTGTCCACCCTGTGCTATTTCCTCCCCTTGGCAGGGGTGGTGTGAGGTCCCCCTCCCTCTAGGCTGCACTGCTTACCAGCTGCCCTTGGCTGCCATGCTCTGCACCACTGTCTGGTATCCTGGCTGACTCCCAGTTGCTGGATTACACTTCCCAATGCCAATCAGTGCCAACACGAGGATAGACTTGGCCAGGGTATACACTGTCCTTTGACCCCATGCCTTGGGCCACTGGCCTCCTTCCCCAGGCCAGCGTCTGCAGAACCCAAGGTCATTCTCCCTAGCTAGAAGAACTTCATATCTTGTCTTATTTTACTCCTAACCAATTTCCCTGTAGAGACGTAGCTTCCTGTTCCTTTGCCCACTCCTACTGGCACAGGACCCACTCCTATTGTGTTACATACCCTCTCTGGCTGTCTAACTTTCCAAGAATCAAAAACTCAGAAAACCTACTCATGATTTAACTATATCAAGACTAAACATCTCTTTGGTTATTTCAAAGGCACCTTTGGAAGCCTTAGAATTGGCTTCCTAAGCACCATGGCTTCTAAAAGGTAGAAAGCATGATCTGAATGGTATTGATCCCAAGACACCCCTGAATACTGGGTGACTTCCAGTAAGTTGCTTGACCTCTCTAAGCCTGTTTTCTAATCTGAAAAGAGGCCAATTATCTTTAATTCATGACATTTCTATGAAGCCTCAAGATCATGTACATAAAAAGATGTGGTTAATTCAAAAATTTCTGATATCATCTTGATATTTCTATTTCCACAAAAGCAGGGGTTTATTCTTACTTAGGGGACAGGCTAAGGTTACCCAATATCACTTCACTGTTTAATGCTCTGTTCAGAGCCTGGCTCCCCTTGTAGACTGAGCTCCTTGAGGCCAGGTCTTATGTCTGATTACCCTACAGATCTGGGCCAGCACGAGCCCAGTGTCTGGCACAAAGAAGGCACCAAGTGAGTATTTGCAGGACAGAGGACTTCCCCTGTGCTTGCCCCTCTCATCACCCAGCCCAAAGATCGAGTCTATGTTGAACTCTTGGCCACCTTTAAGGGAGGATCATAGTAACTTTGTCCATAGTTATACCGAGTGGTGAGAACTGTTCCCCTCCTCCCTTCCTACAGTAAATACCTTCATGTCAGGGCAATGACATTCCAACAAATGCAGGGGAGGTCAGGAAAACCAAAGCAGTCACCTGATACCTCCTGTGGCTACTCCCCACAGTTATCTACTGTGTGCCAGACTAACTGGGGGCCAGCTAAGCAGTAAAGTGACCCTTTCTTCTGCCAGCCCAAATGACCACTTGACACTGTATCTCCAAGAAACCCAGTTAAGTGCAGTACTGTATTCTACAAGACCACCTGGTGAGAATGAGGCTTCCATTCATTCACCCTACAAACATTAATTGAACAATGATCATGTCCTAGCAGGTCAGCAGGTCTGTCCTAGAGGTTGAAGAAACAGTCCAGGCCCTCAGACAACTCTGGGGCCCCTGAGAAACAAACAAGGAAAAATATCACAATAATAGAGTGTGATGAAAGCAAAGACAGAGTAAATAGGTTGGGAGAGCACACAAAAATCTACAGCATTGTGTGCAGAATATGAGGCACAGCAGGATATGGTACTGGGGAGGTGGAACTTAGCTTCTTGATTAGTCACTAGGTGAGGAAATCCAGAAAGGATGGAGATTTGAGGAAGAGGATGAAGTAGGACCCAGGGACAAAGACAGCAGCGTGTGCTAGAGGTGGCAGTGGTGGCTCAGCAAGACTCTTATAAACATAGAGGACTCCATTCTATAATCTAAAGGCTGAAGTGTGGTGTGTCTGGGGAACCACAGGAGCAGCACAGCTAGACAAAAAAGGACTTAGTGGGCGTGTCTGAAAGGAAGATGGAGAAGAAGATGAGAACCAGCCAGGAATGGAGGTTGGCTTTTATGCTAAAGGCAGTAAGAAACTCCTAATGGGTTTCTTGGCCTGATCCCAGCTGCAGAGTGAGCCAGGAAAGAAATCAACAGTGTCATCAGTGGAAGAAACCCAAATTACCCTTCCTGGTTCTTGATGAAAGGTAAAGAAAAAACAGGAAGTAAGGCTGCAGAGTGGCAGTGCCACGGCAAGCAGAAACACCAAAATGACACCCAGGATTTAGAAGTAGATTTATTTATATTGATGGGCACTGATTGGGATCATTCCCAGAATATCAGGCCCTGATCTCTAGTGGTCTAGAGTTTATATGAGATAAGCAAGCAGGAAGTACAGAGACAGAATGGCTTGTCAAATGGGGATTGGTTTATATGTGCATCATAGTAACCAGATATGCATCACAGTGACCAGATATGCATCACAGTGACCAGCTGTTTCTAAGAGATAGGAGCAACTGGAACTGGAACAAGAACTAGGACCTAGACAGCTAACAAACTGAAGTATATTGGGGGATGAATTTTCTGTTCCATTTCCTTCCCCCTTTCAGTTTCCCTGGCAAATATTTCCTGGGCATATTATATGTGATCTTCTGAGACAAGGCCCAACTAGAATTTAGTCCTGTCTGTTCTATAACATTACTCTGGTAAGGTAATGAGGGAGTTAATCTGATCTAGGAGAGTGTCCAGTGTGTCTTGAATGCTCATCAAATCCTGGTCAAGTGTTTGACTGATTGTTCTATTCTCTTGGGACAACCATTCATAGAGTTTAAGGCAAAAAAAAAAAAAAAAACCAAAAAACCCACAGGTAGCAAGGGGGCAGGGAAGCAAGAACTGGGGTAATCAGCCTGAAAAGACACAAAAAACCAAAGAGAATAGGTATGGAGCAATCCTGTGGACTGTGTCCTCAGTCTTCAGTCATGTGTGGACTGGTCAGCATGCATTGTCTCTTCAGAGTGAGCCTCAAAGGAGCTGTACAGGTAAATTTTTCAGCAGATCTAAGGCTGGATTTCTGAAACGTATGTGTGAGCAGAAATGTATACAAATATAGCTGGTCTTTTAACTGGTTACAAGCTGTTTCTGTAGGGTTATGTAATCTATCTATACATCTTTAAAAGGGGAGAGTCCACTATAATGCATGAAGTCAGGGCCAGTGACACAGATGCTGAAGCCTGAGCTGCCTGCAGGGGTACAGGTGTCAGTGCTGTGGCTTAAGTTTGCAGAACAAACAGTAGGGGTAGGTCTGGCTCTGATCTTCTGGGAATACCAGGTAAAGTTTTTCTGACTGGGGTTGATGTTTCAGTCAACCAGACCCCTGGAAGGGGCTTAGGCCTCTGGACCAGATTATTTTGCATCATTGGTGGCAGGTTTCCAAACAGCAGTTTCTTGTGCAGATCGTCCCTGCAGGAGAATTTTGACTAAAATAGTTTTGTCCAAGGTGACCACAGCATATCTTCATTCCTAACAGAGCTACTTCTATCTGTAAACAGGATGTACTCAGCATCTGTCAGGAGGTCCATTTTTAGAACAGTTCAGCCCAGTACATCATGTGGCACCTGAACAGTTAGGTCTCAGTCTAAGGTGAGCTTGTCAGCTTTCTTGATCAGAAGGATAGTGGCTGTTAGAGTGCAGAAGCAAAGAGGGGAGGAGGCCTTATAGGCCACTGGGTGCTCTCAAGGACTGACAGTCTGAGTAACCATAGAAGCCAACAGCTCCAAGAAATTTGTAGCTTCTGTCTTATAACCAGTTTCTGCCAGGTATTGTAACCTCTGGGAGGTTGAGTCCAGGTCAGTTGGCTTTTGAGTCCAGAACTGGGGTCTTTCCACTTAAAGGCAAAGAGGGGCTGGCTGACAGAAACAACTGAAGGCAGAATAAGGTATTTTTTAGGTCCAGGCAGGTGTACAAGCCAGCTGTTGTGGCAGAATACTGAGGCAATGTATACAGACAGCAATCATGGTGGCATTAGTGGCTTGGCGATCTTGAACTGGCTTTACAGGCAGGAGAGGTATACTATTTGATGCAGGTGGGGGTTGTCTTGGGGCAGAGTTCAATCACCAAAGGGGCATGATTGATAGGAAGCCGCAGGGGTGAGTCCTTTGTCCATACTTCTGGAAATGTCTCTCAGATTTTCAGGGTTGTGATTATCAGGCTGATGTAGGCACTACTTTTCTTCCCAGGGTATAGTCAGAATCAATATCAAGTCTGGGACAGTGGACCTGAGTGTAAAAGAGACTGGTCATGTCCCAGGGAGGTATAGGGCACTCAAGCATGTACAGGGGTTCATGTTTGATAAAGTGTCCATCAGTCTCACAGTATCTGCTTTGGCAGAATTTCCTTTCAGTGAGGTCTCCAGTAGGTAACTTCAGTAACTTTAGACATGTTTATTGGCTTCTTGCCTCCCTCTTTGAGGTCTGCCAGGAAAGCAGTTCTATACTGATCTAAGGCTTCATGGCCCTCTGATACATTACAGTCCCAGTTTGGACATGCTCGGGGGAGGACTGTGTTCACGCAAATGTCAGGATCAACCACAGTGGCAGAGAATTTTGATGTTAACCAGGCTTAGACCCCATCTAAAAAATGGTGACATTCTTCAATATTAAACAGTCAGAAGAAGTTGCTGACAGTAGAGCAGGAGGCTGTGGTGCAGGAGACAGAACTGGCAGTGGTGGTATCACGGTTGGTTGAGCAGCTTGGGGTTGATGAATGTAAGGAGGAGGCAGGTTGGACTTGGGGGCCTCACGCAGAACAGAATAAATCTTTTCTGGCTTTGGCTGAATCTGAGAGTGCCTCAGACAACCTTGTGGGTTTGTTCTGACAACTAGTATGGCTTTTTTTATGCAGGACACAGGTGTGGAGCCAAGGTGGAAGAGTTTTTAACCTCTGATGGCAATTGAGTCCAAGTGAACTGGTCTTTTATCAGAATTTTCTGAGTTGAAAGGACCTATGGAAGCAACTTGCAAGCAGAGAAAGGCATATTTTAAATCTAAGGCAGTGCAAAAAGGGTGTATGCATTGGGAACTACAGAGTGCAAGGTGATGGTTACATAGTTGACAGCACAGAGATCTTGCCCAAGGCGATTAACAGTCTACCAGGCTGATGTGTGGCTCGATACCTGTTTATATTTTCTGTGACATTTGACAGCAATGGGGGTCACGGTGAGGTGGCATGGTTGACCGCCAGGCTCAAACGCAAGTCTTTAGTTTATGTTTCTGGGAGGAGAATTTTCAGAACTTCAGCATTCTGGTTATCTGTCTCAGGCTGATGCAGGCATCATCTTCCTCTTGGGGAACAGTCAAAATTGAAAGTGCAGGGTTAAAAAAGGTAGGCTGACTGGCCTGGTGCAAAGGAGATGGTCTCTTCTAACTTGAGGAGGAGGTCTCTTCCCAGAAGCAGTATTAATGTTTGGTGAAATGTCTTCCCAGGCTGCAAGCTTGTGGCTGGCAGAAGGAGTAAAAAGCAAGAGTCTCAGTTGCTCTGGCGATGGTAACTTTTTGACAGAGGGCACTTTTGAAGGCAGAGAGTTCTGTCCCATTGTCTACCAGGAAAGTCACAGGTTTGTCCCCAACTTTTGCAATGACTGTGGGCTCTTGGTGGCCCAATTCAATAGAGCTCAGTCTGTCCTATCCATTTAGGCCTCACAGGGAGCAACTCACTTGTCAGGTTTGACAGTCCAATTTTCCTCAGTCAAAATGTGGAACTCAGAAGGAATTACTGACAGTCATCTCAGGTGGGTGTTAAATGATGCCATCTGACCCGGATAGGCATGTCTCTGGGGGGCTTCTGTGGCTGAATGCAGGCCATGAACTGGAATGGTTCAACTGGCTGAAACTACATGAATCAGAAATGGGGGTTGAAACTGTGGCAGTCAATGGGGGTATCAAGTGGAATTCTCAGGAAGAATGGGTCTCTTTTTCTTTCTTTGAGATGCAGGGAGTACTTTGGTTTTATTTTTAACTCCATGAAAGCCCTTTTTCCTGCAGTCAGGGACTGTGGGTTCTAATTAATTAGTTCCTATTCTGTGTTCCTATGGTGTATGTTGTATACCCTTGAACAATGGTGCAACATACAAAGGGTGGGTGCTGCTCAGAGAGAGACCATTCGGATGCCCACCTCACCACACCCCTCAAGGGGATGTACGCATGACTTAGCTAAGGAGAATGTGAGGCTTCCCTTATGCCTTATGTCAATCACTACAGAACCACATGTGAGGGCCCAATCAGCCACCATGACCAGTGCTTCCCAGCCTTGGTGCACAGACAGAGCAGTATACTGATTATGAGTTCCCTTCCACTCATTCACACATTCATTCACCAGGCACTCAGAGGTTAAATATTCCAACCTCCTTTCCCTTGAGATTGGCTTTGACTAACAAGAGTTGATCAAATTCTTCTTTCGCTCAAACTGAGGAGGACTGACAGACTGACTAACTGCGGTGCCCCCTGGGGTCTTACCAGCATCAAGCAGGCAAGCAGACAGACAGGATGATTCATCATCTTTCCTTTGGGATCTGATGCGAGCTGCTCAAATGGGGAGCCAAGAATCCTCCCCAGACCTCCTAGGGGACTCAAGAAATCTCAAGGGCATAACTTCCTGTCAGTAACTGGAGAGGTCTTTGCTCCATCTGCAAGGGCCACAGCAAGTGACCAAAGAGATCCGCATGGTCAGTCTTCCTGGCCAATTCACTAGATGTAATGGCAATCAGAAACACCAAAATGACACCCAGGATTTGGAGGCAGATTTATTTACTTTGACAGGTACTGATCTGGATTACTCCCAAAATATCAGGCCCTGATCTCTGGTGGTCTAGGGCTTATATGAGATAAGCAAGCAGGAAGTACAGAGGCAGAATGGCTTGTCAGTTGGGGATTGGTTTATACCACGTGCATCATAGTGACCAGCTATACATTACTATGACCAGCTGTTTCTAAGAGAGAGGAGCAACCAGATCTGGAACAAGAACTATGACCTGGGCAACTAACAAACTGAAGCATACTGGTGTATGTGGGGGGGCATTTTTTCTATAGCAGTGGCAAGAAACCTCGGTTGGAAAAGACCTTCACCCTTCACTCTGGGACCTAAGCCCAAGCACCCTGGAGCTGGTACACTCCATACCCTAACCAGCAGACAGGACAGTAGGTGAGCAGAGCCTTCCTCTCCCACTGCTAGTGTTCCCCAGTGGTGCGTCCTTCAGCAGCAGTGCCCATGTATGCACATGGCACACAGGTGATCATGCCTTCCATGCAGGCTCCCAGACCTGATCTGCACCCATTGTGCCTAATGGCCACTATGTTTTTATGGTTTGCCTTCCCTATCAGACTATGAGCTGCATGAGAACAAGAAATCCGTCTTACTCATTTTTGAATTCTAGTTCCTCACAAGGTAAGTCCTATGCTATGGTTTGAAATGTGCCTCCCAAAGTTCATGCGTTGGAAATTTAATTCCCAAATTCCTGCATTGACCATATTAGGAGGTAATTAGGGTTAGATGAGGTTATGAGAGTGGGGTCCACATGACAGGACTAGTGGTTTTATAAGAAGAGGAAGAGACCTGAGCTTGCATGATCCCTCACTCTTGCCATGTGATACCTTCAGCCACACTGTGACACAGAAGACCCTCACCAGCTGTGGCCCTTCAACCTTGGACTTCCCAACCACCAGGATGTGAGAAATGAATTTGATTTCTTCTTCAACTGCCCAGCCCATTATATCACAGCATCATAAAACTGACAAGACTCCATAAATGTATTGGTAAGTTTAATTAGAGCACACTAAATAGAGTTTTATCCAGGGTATATTATGCATTTTAGTCATTTTAGGGGATTTTACTTATATCAAATGTATATGACTTTTAGAAGGAAAAAAAGTTTGAGTTCTGTGCTATTTGCTTTAAAATATACTTTTTTTTTTTTGAGACAGGGTCTCACTATGTAGTTCAGGCTCATTTTGAACTCACTATATAGCCCAGGCTGGCCTCTAATTTTCATCAGTCCTCCTGCCTCAACCTCCCACGTGCTAGGATTACAAGCATGTGCCACCAATCCCAGCTAAAATCCACGTTTTAAACCCAAAATTTCTCTAATTTGGGAACTATCCAGGAATGATCAAAGCATATGTTTGTTTGATCATAATACCCTTAGCAGAAAGGACTATGCATTTTCAGCTTTGATCTCTCACAGGACATGTCATATAGCAAGTGGTTCATTATACAGTAAATATATAGGTTACACACACTCTTGCTCATATGTATTTTTTGTGCTAATAAAGGGTTTTGCAGGTGCAGATTCAAGTAGCTTGTTTAAATATATAAGAGAAGTATAAAGAGGAAATTCACCACAATACATACCAAAGGCAAGTGAATGTGTAGTTGTTATGTATCAAATACAATAAAAATGGATGATAAAATTGACTATTTAATAGAAGCATTTCTCAAATGCTTAATAAAACAGTATACAAGGAAGGAAATGGCATGAAATGCTACCTATCTTCAAATTTTAAAAAGAAATGTGAAATGATTTAGATAAAATACAACTGTAAAATCAATTCAAAGAGGAAATATTTCAGAATAAATGATTTTCAAGAAGTATGACTTTATGATCTGACATCTGAGAAATAGTTGAACAAATGGTAGACTGCCCTCTTCCAGAGCATTATTAGTGAGCCAGTGGGCGGGTGTTTGTGGACCACTTGTAACTGGAGAGCCTGGGGATGGGGAAGGGGGATTCTGAGGAACCAAACAGAGCTGGGATTTTCTCAGCTGTGTTTGCAGTTTCACTTAGGTGCTGCTCAAAGTCATCTCTAACAGTTAATAAAAACAAATGTAATTTTCTTCACGTTGTGTCTAGAATACAAACTCCCCAAAACTTCTGCATCCTTGGAAATTCTTCTACTTCTTTTCCATCCCTGAAATCCACCAGAGGAGTCTGCTTGTCACCCACTCCCCTGTTCCTTCATTCATTTGAAAGTGGGAGGATCAAAAGTTTGAGTCCAGCCTGGACAACTTAGCAAGACCTTGTCTCAGAACTAAAAATACAAAAGGTCTGGGGATGTAGGTCAGTGTGAAGGCCAAGGTTCAATACCCAGTACCACACACACACACACACACACACACACAGAGAGACACACATACATGCATGCACAGAAACTAACATAATTTCCTTAAGAAGGAAGAGACCTTACAAATCATTGGACAAAAGACACCAGGAGAATGAGTGTGACATCAACCAGGTGACAGAGCTATTCAGTTGCAAACCAACACAAGAACCTTACTCATCCATTTCCTGATACCCCTTCTATGACATCACTATGTTTTCCCCAACAGCAGCAGGTACAATGGACTCCTGAAGAATATTCCAGAATTTTATGTATTAACATCAGACCTTAGACAGCTCTAACAGGTGACTTCAAAATACACTTGGTACCCTGAATGCCCCAATTTTAATTAATAATTTTAATGCCTCTTGGTCTTAACTGATCCTTATCCACACATATCATCATGTTTTCAATGGTGTAATGTGTACACATGCTGCTTTTTGTGTCATTGAAACAGTCATGCAACAATATCCCAGCTTTCTAAGGCAAACTGTCCATAGAACTTTTCTTGATAATGAAAGTGCTCATCATGCACACTCTAACAGTCATCATGCAGTACATGTGTCTCTGGCACACTTGAAGTGGAACTAGTGTGGCTGAGGAACTGAAATTTTTTTATCTTATTTTATTCCAGTCAAATCAAATGGAACTTGTGACCACTGTGTTAGCCAACAATATTCTAAAGTCTTCATTGCATTTCCAAACATGGGTATGTGATGCATTCTTGTATTGATATCTGAGCTTATTTTGTTTCTCCTGTCCTTGGAAATTCCAGTTGCTTTTAATTTTTATTACAGCAAATACAGTATAATGTACAGACATATACACACTGCCATAAAAATTGTTCCTTGTCAATTTTTTTCCCTTTGATTTATTCACCTGACTTAACATCTGGCAAGTGAAATTACCACTAGGTAGTGTTCTGAGTGAGTTATTCTTCAAAATCCTCAGAGAGCCCTATATATATATATATATATCTTCCTTTCATCCTCCCATGGCATGCCCTTGGGAACAAGAATTCAACCAAGAACCAAGATCTTCCAGTGCCAAGTCCTTTGACCGGGCCTCTCTTTGCCTTTCTTCTCTGATTTCTATCCTCCCCAGCTCATGCCTTAGGGCTCCTGTCCCCTCAAGCCAGCTTCTCCTTTTCTATTGTCTTTAGAAATGAAGACATGGGTCATTTTGATTTAAGGGATTTCCTCCTAATCCAGACAAAACAGAAAGAGCAGGGATGTCCGAATGTTCCAAGTCTGGACAGAGCCCACAGCCCTGCTGCAGTTCCCTACTCATGGCAGGAGTCAGCATGCACAGTGTTTGGAGGAGAAAAGACTGGTGGCCTTCAATCCCATGAGTAACCTCGGCTCGCTATGGTACTTTCTTTACTTTCCTACACCCCCACCTCATGAGTCACAGTCTTCTCCACAGAGGAAGCTCAGGAGATGCTGCAGAGGGAATATAAATTCCATCCTATGGACTAGCACAGATGAACAGGTCACTCTCCATACCACTTTGATGGTGGATGCTGCAAAGGCTGAGTAATCCCATTTCCCTTGTCATTTTGGGCAATGTCAAAAACAGAGACAACAGTATAGAGGTATAAGATTTATAGTACCCTAGAAAAGTGAGTGGATACTTGACTAGGAGGGGTGGAAAAAATAAGTAAATTGATCATGAGATCAGATGAAGTGAAGTTAAAGAGATACTTTTAACACTGCATAAGCACAGGTCTGATAAAGAGAACACTAGACAGACAGCAAGAATCCATGGCAGTAGTCCTTGTTGTCCCCATAGGCAATTATCTGGTGCAAAACCAGTTTGAGTTAATGTATAGTAATCCACAGAAGGGAACACAGTTCATAGAATGAGAAACCTGATCAAGCAAAACCTGAAGTCCACCCACTTCAGGAATTTTCTATTGTATTATACCTTTTCTCTCTGTGTTTGGGATTTAGAATCCCGTGTCATTCTTGCTGTGAAGTTCTTAGATGGTGAGCTATTCTAGAAAAATTCAGTCTTTTGAATATTTGGCAGAAATTCCGAATATTCAAAAAATTTCAAATATTTGGCAGAAATTAACCCATGATAATTGAACACCAATTGTTACTTGTAATAGGAAAAGGAAGCAAGGGTACTAGAAACTCTTTTGTAGTCTACCACTTGATCAAGTCATTTGAAGTTCGCTGAATGTCAGCTTCCTTGTTTAATGAGGATGTTAGAAAAGATAAGTTGTTGAATTTAATTTTGCTTAACCAAGTAATTTTAAACTTAGTCTGACCATCTGAACCTTCCCCATCTTTATTCTCCTGAATTAATTGTCACAAGAGTATCTCAATTGGGAGGACAGATGAAAGTAGAGATGACCTGCCTGAAAGGGTAGTGGGGGTAAGCCCATCCACTCAGTCCCCTACATCTTCCCAAGGTGGCCCAGCAGCAGCTCCAGGGACATCAATGGGACCAGGAAATACCTGAGAATCTCTGGATTAGGAGTGCCCCTTCCCCCGGCTCAAATGTTGGGAAAGGGTAGTGGGAGATATAAGGCTCCTTCTTCAAGTTGTTCTCAATCATCCAGCCTGTGAATCTCCCATTCCCATTGAATTTTTAAGCTATATTAATACATTAGGGGGAAGAAAAGAAAGTTAAACTAATGTGTTAACATTATTACATTGTTATTGCGGACTGATCCGCTTGCAATCTCCCAAATGAGTGTACAGGGAAGGCTTAAATAAAAGAGTCAAATGGTATGATTTTAGGGCTCCAGGAGGATCAAAACCCTCTAACAGAATTCCAGATTCTCTGGGCGCTAAGACAAAGATCTTCTCTGGGCAGCCAGCTAATTATTTAGTTATCAAAACAAAGGAGGGGAATACTGAAGAAAGGCAGGAATGAATATGAGCAGGACCATTCAAGGAACTTGGAAATCCACTCAAGGACTTCTCCAAGTAATACATTATATTAATCTAGGAGAACTATGTTATCTCCAAGAAGGTCTCCATCTACAAGTGAGATGCCTGCGTCTACAGTCTTTATCTAGTTAATTGAGGTTGGAGCCAGGTGTCCTTAGCTGTAGCCTTGTCTTGTCCTTTGAGGCACCCTAGCTTTACCTGCCATTATAGGCCTCAGCTGGGACCAGTGACTCAGAGAGGTTCACTTATTATGAGTTTATTGCCCATCTCCAGATAGGGGCCTAGGCCTTGGACAGACTCACAAGTAAACATAAAAAGCTAATTGATTAATATTAAATCTTGCTCAGGGCCACTTTGTAGTAGTCTCCATCATTAAAGGACACTTAGCTCCAAAATCATTAATTTGCCTTAGTCATCAGAACATGTGTGATCAAAAGGAATAGTTTTGAAATCAAGGATAGCTCCCAATAATCAAAATTCACTATTCCTAGGTTCTGCTGTGCAACAAGGACCACACCATTTGGGGACACTCATGATGTTGGTCCAGGCCCCATGTGGGCACTCTGCCATGTCATCAGAGACCCAGGCACTGTCCAGCTCTGTGCCATATTCTTGACAGGAAGGACTTTTGCCATCTGTGTTTCAGCTGCTCCTCATCATAGATGGCTACACTCTTCTGGGTCTCACCTTCACACTCTGGGCAAGAAGATGAAGGAAGAGTGAAGGGCCAAATCAGTGCCCTCTGTTAGGGGGCAGTTGCTTATTCCTGATGTCTCTTTTCAGGGGGGCACGCCTCTTGGTGGAGCCTGACTGCCCTGGGGAGGCAGAGTCCATCCTCCTCAGTCCTTCCTTCTCCCTTTGCATCTGCTCCAGCAGCAATCCCCAAATGCTCACCTGCTGAGATCCCCCCAGTGTGATGGTGTTGAGAGGTGAGACCCAGGGTGATGACTAGGTCATGTGGATGGAGCTCATGAATGGGTCGGTACCTTTATACAAGGGACCAAAGACTTCTCTTACCCTCTTTCCACCTTGCAAGGACACAACAAGAAGTCAGCAGTCTACAGCCCAAAACAGGGTCCCAGAAGAGGGCCCCACCACAACCCAGCCCTGCAGTCACCCTGACCTTAGACTTCTAGCCTCTCTGTGAAAAATATACTGCTGTGGTTTTAAAGCCACCTTGCCTGTGGTATTTTGTTACAGTAGCCCAAACCGCCTAAAGCTCCAGCTTGCAGTCATTAGTGCTGCCTGAGGCTAGGAAGCCTGTCGACCTCAAGTGTAGGGAGTTAGGAAGCCAAGTGGTCACTGCCCAGGCTATGCTCTGCCTAGCCTTCATCAGTTATAAGGATCGTGTTGTCATCCTATCTGCCCTATTCCCATGAACCGGTTCTAAATTCAGGAAGTGGAAAGAGATGTTATTTATTGACTCTCTTTTCTGCACATTTACCCAGTGTCTAAAATAGATTGAGAGTTTAATGAATATTTGGACAAAGACAAAAATGTTGGATTAGGTCTGATATGTAGTTCAGTGGCACAAGCACCTGACTGGCAAGCACAAGGTCCTGAGTTCAATTCCCAGTACCAAAAAAAGAAAATGCTGGATCATTCCAGTAGGACATCTGTGATTATGTAGATTTATCTTCCCAGAGGTGAGAATTAAAACAGATGGCAGGTATATAAAGACCTTTAACAAGTAGACAAGAACACAGAATTTCATTAGTATTTGTGTTACTGACACACCTAACACAGTACCTGGAATTTTTTATTGAATGAATAAATGTTCACAGATATACACATTCCAACTCAGATTTCTGATACAATATAAAAGAAAGAAGTCAGGAGCTAGGGAAGTTTTCTTCTCGTGGTTTCTAGTCAAAATGGTTAAGTAGTAAAATAATTAGCAAGACAGCATAAAAGCATGACAGTTAGAATATTCCTTGCTGGCACAACTCCCTCCTCTGTTAGTATTAAACAGCAGGTCTGACCCATGTGGAATAGATGAATGATGCTAACAAGTTTTGTTTTATGTCATGTTATGTTTGGGGCTCTTAATTTGTTTCATGAAATGGGTGAATGTACAATAACAAGCAACATTTTAAAGGAGTTCTAATAAGTTGGTTTTATAAAATAATAATGTAAATATTCTTGGATGTTAAAATATAAAACTATGGTAGTCACACAAATTACAGAAAAGTAGGTAAAAATTGGACATCAGTAGAACTACTACTACTCCCGCACCCTGTTCATATTTATTTTCCCTGCTTGCTGAGTTTTAGCTAGATGCACAGATGCCCAGAATTAAGACTGTGTTTCACAGCCTCGCTTTAAGCTCAGTGTGACATGTGACTGACTTCAAGCCAAAGATGAGCAATGGCAGTGATGTGTGGAATTTCTGCTTTCCTGAATGAGGATGTGATGATTGGTGCTCCAGCAGCTATAGTGGGTTATCAGGTGAATTTGAGAATAGAAAGACCCATTGGTAGAGAAATATGATCATTGAAGCTCAAGTCCCTAACATCATGAGATGTCCTACCACCTGGGAATGATCCTGTCCAGATACTGGGAATACAAGGAAAATGGATAAAATAACCCAATGTCAGTTTGAATTTTTACATTACTTATGTCTGATCCTAATGAATATATAGATTTAGATACAGGTGATGACTTTAGAGACCAGCCCAGAAACACAGGGGTGAGATCCTTATGATCTGCAGAAGGATTGAGTTTCCTCTCTCTCTCCAGATCTTTCCTTCAGCCATCTCTTCCTCTTCCTTATAGTGATATTTCATCTAAATAAATATAGACTCATACAAATCTATATATGCAGCCTATGTATGAACTGATATGTGTAAGACTGAAAAAGTTAATGTTTCCACATCTCAGTTACTTTATTTGTAAAATAGAATAAAAGTATATATTTCTTATGCTAGAAGTAAATATAATAATGCTATTAAAGCACTTAGTACAGCTAAGGCTATACTAGTAAAGATTAAATAATTGTTCATTATCAGAATTGATATTGATGCTATGGGTAATACTGTAATTGTCTAAAGTGAGTGCACTTCCAACCCTACCGATGGAAGTTTAATTAGGAGTTTTCTGTTGTATTATCAATTTTTCTTTTTGTTTTTTGAGACAGATTCTTTCTTTGTAGATCAGGCTGACCTTAAACTCACTATGTAACCCAGGTTGGCCTTAATCCTCCTGCCTCAGCCTCCCGAGTGCTGGGATCACAAGCATGCACCACTATGCCTGGTTTTTATCATTGTGTTGTCAGGTAGTTCATGGCCACCAATTAAAAGTATTCCAGGTCTTTCTTGCCTCAAACAAAGAAATGGACTCCACACTTCCATAAGAGTCACTATAGCGGCTCCCTGTGGCATCTGGGTCCACATTTGGTGGGAGCCCATGAGAAGCTGTACGCACGAATCTTATGGCACCGCTCTGGGATCTTGCAATTGACAGGTCAC